CCTAAACCCTAACCCCCCCCCCCCTTCAACCACAAAAACCAGTAGGACCTACAGTCTCCTTGTAGGATCCTACGTTTATATGTGCTTAAGCAACAAGTGGAGCTACAATGTAGTCTGTAGGTAGCTTTAAAACACTAAAAAAACATAGGAACCCACCACCTTAGAGACCCCTATGAAACCCAAAGCTAACAGGAACCCCTGAGACCCCTATCAAAGCTCAACACCAAGCCAGGGACGCCTCTGGGGCCCTTTTCCTTGAGACCCGTCCCCGAGGCTGATGGAGAGCTACCTGACCTTGGTCAAGAAGAACATCGCCGACTCGGTGCGGGATTGGGGTTTAGGGCTTGCGGGGTTTGTGATGGCTGTTGGGGCTTGTCGGGTCTTTGGGGCTTGGTGTGTGGGTTTGAGGGCTTTGGAGTGAAACGCTGGGTTTGCCAGGTTTTAGGATTTAATGGGCTGGGGGCGGTGGCTGGGGGGTTACAGGCTTGTGCTGGGCGAAAGCGGCCTAGAGCTCGGGGTTCATGGGTTTGGGTTTAAGGGTTTGGGATGTTTAGAGGGTGGGTCTGATTCTTTACATAGGCTGGGCCAGGTGTTTCAGAGTCTTTAGATGCATTGCAGCTCCAGGTGCCTAGGATTATCGTAAGAGAAGTCGCAGCACAAGCAAGTATAGTGACAGTACGTAACAAGAACAAGCAGCCACATTGCACCGTTCAGTGCTAGAAGGGTGTGAGGAGATGTAGCAGATTCAGGGTTTCGGAAACAACAAGCTACATGACAGAAGATATTGACAACAAAGAGGCGTACTGCAGCAAGTAGCGCAAGCAGCAGCGGCAGCAGCGCAAGCAGGATTACCAGTAGTCACCGCCACGGCAATAGTACCGGTCGATGTGGAGTAGCGATCGTCGCGTCGGTGGTAGTGGTAGGATCAGCCGCAGAGGGATCATCATCGGCAACGCAATGCGTAGACGCAGCAAGAGCCAAATCCTAAACCCAAAGTTCCACGCCCACCCCCCCAGGCTTGAACCGAAAGGGAACAAACACTGACATGGGACTTTCCGACAATTAGGGGTACCTTATTTTGGGGTCCTTAGAATAAGGATCCTATTATTAAGGGTACTATATTAGGGTCCCCTATTTTCGGAAACACCCACATCGGCTCCAGGTCCCGAAGGCCATCATGCTCTTCTTGGTCGGCGGCTCAGAAGTTCGGCAGGGGCCTTTCTTTGCTGTGCCTGCACCCTGTTTCAGGTTTAGGGCCCAGGATTTGGGGTTCAGGGTTTAGGCTTCACGCTTAGTGGAGTGTATAGGAATGTACCCCTAAACCCCTAAACCCTAAACCCCCAAACCCCTAAACCCTGTAAACCCTGTAAACCCTAAGCCCCTAAACCCTGTAAACCCTAAACCCCTGTAAACCCTAAAGCCTAGCACTGAGGGTCTGAGCATGGCTGCAGGGCATCGGTAATTAGAGGGCCATAGGCTTCAAAGTCTACAACGCATCCTCGCACGCCGTGTTTTGTGCTTCGTTCCCGTAGGGTTTCGGGTTTATCGATTTGTTCAGGACGCTGTCTCCAGAATCATGCGGTTTTCTTTCCAACTCGAGCATTAGGAACCTTGGGGTGCTAGGGCTCCAAATGGAAGTTTCCGAAAATAGGGGGTACCTTATTTTGGGGTCCTTATAAAAAGGATCCTATTATTTAGGGTACTATATTCGGGTCCCTATTTTCGGAAACCCCCAAATAACTAGCTGAAAGATGATTTTCTTGCAGGACACTGATTCTCTCGGGTGTGTGTGTCGATCAGTTGCGTGCTGAGCATAACGGCATAACGGCAGCAACACTGAGAATTTCAAAGACGATAAGAAGAAGTGCGGAAAGAACACACCTTGCCAGCATGATGAGCCTGAAAAAGAAACACGCTGCATGATTACGACCTATTGCCTTGTGCACCCGAAATTTCAATTCTATATTATCTAGACGAGCTAAGAGAAACCAGATTCGATGAGTCCTTGAAGGCTGGCGAGAAGGGTTCCATAAGGATTTAGATAAGTCTAAAACGCTGAGGGTTTAAGTTCAAGATTTAGGGCTTCACTTAGGCATTTAAAAATGGGAAGTTGAATGCTACAAAACTACTACTGTAATTAAGACTAGGATCCTGGTTCACAGTGGCAAATCTGCCATGTATCCCAGAGCAAGCGCTACAACCTTGAAGCCTAGACCCCACTGCTGCACTTGCAGGGTCGGCGTGAAATAAAGAGCCAGGGTTTAGGGGTTTAGGGTTTACATACGCTTTAGTTTAGGGTTTAGGGGTTTAGGGTTCTCGTGATCCCCGACATTGCTATTCACACGGCCACAAGCAGGGGTGTGTCTGGTTTCTCTGGTATTTCACGGAGGGTGAAGCCGCGTGTGCGGAGGAGCTTTGAAAGGTCTGTCCATGCGCTCAGAGTCATGAATCCCAACTTCAACTATAACCCCTAAACCTGATGCCCCCATTGCAGACACCACCGTTGCAGAAGGGTTTTGCAGTGTGTGTTCTTTGCGGAGTTGCATCCGTAGAACAAGTGGTGCAAATTGCTCCGGTCCCTCTGACCAATCTTTACCCAGACCCAGCTTATGTGACAACGGCACGCAAACAACAGAAGAAAAGCAGCCTCTAAAGCCCCCAAAACTCTCACTCCTAAATTGAAAACTCTCAAGTTCCAGCCCTGAACCATAAGCTCCAAAGCTGAACTGGGTTTTGGTTTGCATCATTACAATCCTCACGTCGCCAAACCCGAGCCTGTCAAAAGTTCACGAGGTGAGCGGCGCCGGCATGTCTTCCGACCCGGGCCGTGTCACGCAGATGCATTGAGAAATGCATAGGGTGGTTTCTTCGATGTTGGGCCGACTCAGTTCAAAGAGTTCTGATCTTTCGTGATAAAGTTTCCAGGGGCTTCGTGAACAGAGTGGGTAATTCCTGCACATAGGAGTCCTTATAGTATCAAGGTCCTCTTGTACCAATATATGGAAGGCATGTTGGGGTCCCCAGACTGTCGAAAGTTTCATCTCCGTGGTCGCGAGCAGGTACTGACAGTATTCCGACACTTTAAACCCAGATCCTCGACCTTGCACCGAAAGCTGCAAAGACTGCAACCTCTGCAACTTAATATGCTATAATTTCTATAATTGTACCGGTGCTGGAAGGGAGGACCTTTTCCAATTCTGCAGACCTCGATACAAGTTACATCGCTGAAGCTTATATAGGCCCTAAGCGCTCCTCTTGCTGCGGAGTGGTGCTGCTACTTGCTAGTTACTGCTTGTGCTGCCTACCAAGAGTAGCCCTGCGACTTGCACTACCGTTGAGGCACAACAGCCACGATTTTTACATGTAAGCGGCTAATGGTAGGAGCGTCGTGTTCGCATCACCGACATAAACACTACCCAGCAACACTGCCACTCCTGCGCACCGACAGCTGTCGAGCCCTCTTAGGCAAAATCGTCTAGGCAGGCTTCAGGCTTTATTGGGTTTAAGGGCAGTTCGTCTGTTCCTGATTGACGGTCCAAGCTTCGGCGCAGTGTGCTACCGTTTTGGGAAGTTTTGGGTACACGCTTTTCGTATGACGTATTTCACCTTCCTTGAAGCTGCTACGTGTTTTCCTTCCCTCCCAAAGTCAGCAGGTTGCTCCCTGCGGTTTGTCTGCCCAATGTTGCGCATCCGGATGCTTTCAGGGGAGGAGGTGGCGAGCCTGCCTGTGGAGCAGTTGAGCAATGCGAGGGCATTGAAACAAGAACTGAATCGCTTGCACGGCTTGCCCACCCGATTTCGGCAAAGACTTCTCCTTGACGGCAATCCTTTGGATGATTCTGCCCAGTTGGCTTCGCCCGTGGAGCTGGAATTGGTTCCTTGGTGTTCTTCTGGTTGGCTCTTAGGACTTTAACTTTTTGGGGTTTCTATATAACTATAATAAGGAGGCTAAAAGTTTAACTTTTTGGAGGGGTTCAGAAGTCAGCCAAGGTTCTACTTTCGTATTCCATGGCCTCGCGGATGCTGGCAGAAGAGCTGGCCACTGCCTCCACAATCGGCTCTGCAACAGAGGTGTTGTCTGTGCAAAATGTCCTATTAGGGTTTAGGGTTTAGGGTTTAGGGGTTTAGGGTTTAGGGTTTAGGGTTTCATTTCCCCCACATCCTACATCCAGAACCCCTGCACCCTACACGGCTTCCGATCTCAAACCCTCCTATCGACGCTCTGTAGGGCTCCAGTTGCTTAACTGGTAGGTTACTAACCCTATGGCGGGGAGCCTGGACTCCTGAGCCCAAACCCCATATGGGCTTTGGGTTTAGGGGTTTAGGGTTTAGGGTTTAGGTGTTTAGGGGTTTAGGGTTCAGGGTTTAGGGGTTTAGGGATACTCACAACCAGTCTGCAGGTGGAGGCCATCTTACAGCAGCCCCTGCATCCAGACATGGTGGATGAGTATGGCAGAAGTCCGTTGATGCTGGCATCGGCAGAAGGCCACGTGGAAGTCGCGCGCTTACTGCTGGAGGCCGGTGCCGACAAGGACTTAACCGTGCATGGTTTCAGTGCCCTGATGGTTGCTTCTCACGAAGGCCACGTGGAAGTTGCGCGTCTGCTGCTGGAGGCCGGTGCCGACAAGGACTTAGCCAACTGTGACGGTGGCACTGCCCTAATGGCAGCTTCTGAGCAAGGTCACGTGGAAGTCGTGCGCTTGCTGTTGGAGGCTGGTGCCGATGGGAACTTCACAAACAATCGCGGCGCCCCTGCTCTGATAGCTGCCTCTGAACGCAGTCACGTGGAAGTCGTGCATTTGCTGCTCGAGGTCGGTGCTGACAAGAACTTAGCCGACAATGAGGGTGTCACTGCCCTAATGTTGGCCTGTGAAGTCGGCCACGTCGAAACCGTGCGTTTGCTCGTTGCCGCCGGGGCCGACAACAATTTAGCAACCAAGCTCGGCGTCACAGCTTTGATGCTAGCTTCTCAAGACGGTCACGAGGAAATCGTGCGTTTACTGCTGGCGGCCGCTGCTGACAAGAACACAGTCTGCCGAAATGGCATCACGGCCTTGATATTGGCTTCCGAAGACGGCCATGTGGAAGTCGTGCGTTTGCTGCTTGATGCTGCTGCCGACCAGAACTTAGCCGACAATGTTGGTGACACTGCCCTGTCTGTGGCTTCTCAAGACGGCTATGCGGAAGTGGTGCGATTGCTGCTGGAAGCCGGTGCTGACAGGAACTTCGCTAACAGTGACGGTACCACCGCCCTTATTCGAGCTTCTGAAGAAGGACACTTGGAAGTCGTGCGCTTGCTGTTGGAGGCTGGTGCGGACAAGAACTTGACCAACAATTCTGATGAAACTGCCCTGATGTTAGCTTCTCAAGACGGCCACACAGAAGTGGTGCGTTTGCTGCTGGAGGCCGGCGCCGACAAGGATTCAACCAACAAGCGCCGTCGCTGCTCCTTCTCCGGTGACCTTCCAAAAAGCAGGGCGAGGGCGAGCCCTAATCCAGACCAGATGAGGCTTGCTAATTCGGGCTTGAGGATATGGCAGAGCGAGAATTTCAGGACTCAGGGTTGTGTCCAGCTTGGAATCCGCGGGTCTAACACAGAGGTCTGTATTAGTACCAATCCCGCTATGTAGTCCCCTTGCAAGCTGCATTGCACTATTCTATCTTCTAATCTTCAAGCCCCCGCCTCATTATCGGCTGTAGCTTTGGGGCTCCGTATCTCTCAAGCAGCAAGGAAGCCTCTAAGGTAGGCTCAAGCCTACTGATCCAGGGGCCTGGGTTTACTGCAGAAATCGGAATCTGTCAGTAGTGCACAGGAACACTACGTAATGCTAGTAGTCATTCTCGTATTGGAAGCCATGTTTCTAGTTTATAAGTATCCAGTCTCATCTTACGGTTTTGTGCTAGATGCTACGACAATGTGCCCCGAGCCTTTTCTCATGATGAAGGTCCTTACATATCTGGGTAGGTTCAAGCTTACCCCAAGTTACATGTACCAATATTGTAGGCCTTAGGGGTGTTCCTACAAAGGTACTTTGAGGCCTAAGTATGTACTACATGGGCACATGGAGCCTTGGGGATAGGAGATTCAGATCATTTCGCACCCTCCCCATAGAGCCCAATACCCATTGTTCATCTGGGAGACTACATTCTTCAATCAAGGGGAATTACACCTTCTGGGTAATAGGAGGGGTCGGAATAAGCAGTAATGGCATTCCTTTATAATGCCCACCTTAGTATTCTAATGAACAGCAAAACCTTATTCAACTTGTTGTTTTGCTGTACGGTCCCCTCTATCTTCTTCTATGAGTCTACACGCCCTAAACCCTAAAACCCTGAGGTTAGCTCCCTCAAAGACGCGATCCAAAGCGAGTGCGTCACGAGGTGGGTGCCGGATATGGCCAGGCTTTGACCACAGCGGTTGTACTAGGATGTTACAAGGTGTAGAGTTTAAGATTCAGGGATGTTGGAACCCTTTGATGGGGGTCGTAGGGCTTTTTGTTGTTTTCCAGGCGTTGATGTCTGCAGGGCACTGTAGGAGGACGAGTTGAGGCAGTCACCCTAAAAGCCGAAGCCTCAGTCCCAACCCAAAGCTGCGGAGAGGGTATTGTTTAGGGTTTACGGTTCAGGGTTGATGGTTTAGGGTTTAGGGTTTAGGTTTCAGGGTTCAGGGTTCAGGGTTTAGGGTTTCGAGCCCCGTGGTTTGTTGAGTATTGTCTGTGTTGCCGAGAGGCTGCGTCGCGGGGGTGCATTGGATCCGGCGTGTAAAATTTCTGCAACAGGCTTCTAGACTAGAGCGGCTTGGTATATCGAGGTTTTTTCCCTATAAGTACTATGGTTTCCAAATTCAGAAATGCTGTGGTTCGTAAACTCTCTGTGGATAGGCAATTAGTAAGTGCTGACAGTAGCTTCAGCTGAGCTTGTTCGACGAATGTTAGTGTTTGCATCCGCCGCTGTGATGGGACACCGTTATAGGCCATTAGATGATAAACCTTCACTTTCGTACTATGGGTTTAGACCATGCTGTTTTTTGCTACTCTTCTTCTGAACTCTAGACGCTGAACCTCGTCTTTTGCTGTGCTCATTATATCGGGCTTGTTTTGTTAAACCTCCGTGGTTGGGTTTGGCTTTATCATTCCTTCAAGCTGCCACTCTAGAGGGCTTTGGGTTTAGGGTTTATAGGGTTTAGGCGCAGGAGGAACCTCAGAAACCTACCGTTTTGGGGGTTCTGCCGGTTGCGTATTGCAATTTTCTTATACAGTTCGTTGAACAGTTAGGCTTTGGGGGTAAGGTAGGGATACGGCTGGGAGACAGCTTGATCTTGAGCCCAAACGGTCATTAACGCTTAACCCCTTAGCCCTCAAGCCCTGAAGCCCTTAACCCGACGTCATGTGCACGAAGACCCAGAGGAGGAGGAAGAGGAGGAGGAGGAGTTGCTGCAGATAGACCTCATTACGGGCGCCTAACCTCGGTTGGCAAAGACGTTGCGAGAGCCCAAGACTCGAACATGAAGCCCGAAAGGTTGCTGCTGTCTGTAGTGCAGGAGATACTATCGGTCTGAATCACCCGAAATAGTATCCCCAAATAGGCTAACCTACTACAAGCATCTTCCAAACCTTATTATGATTACTATGGCCCACCTGTACGTGATATTAGTAGTTGGTTTAGGAATGTTCAGGATTAGCGTCTCAGGCTGTAATATGGGGGGCCTAAATAATTACCAATATTATTCTTGGGAGGTCCTTATTATAAATGTAGTATAATGGGCCCCAAAACCCTATTCTAATTATTAAGGCACCTGCATTATTGGACCCACCTATCTAAAGATGGGGTCCTCTGGACCTTGAAATCCCACCAGCCAAACTTTCCAGAACCCCCTAGCACAGCCTGGATCCCCATGCGCATCTATCTGAGTCAGAACAGTTACCGTAGTAATATTCTTGTTTAGGGTTCCTTATGATAGTTCCAGTATGCCCCCCAAACCCTATCTAATTGTTAAGGTTAAGGCCTTCCTTAGGGTTCCTTATGATAGTTGCAGTATACCCCTCAACCCTATCTACTTGTTAAGGCCCCTATACCCTACGCCTCTATGATCCCTTATGTATAGTAACTCGAATTGGCCCTTATAGAACGTGTTCAAAGGAACCCTGTTTCGTGTATTAGTTCGATCATAAGCCCAAACACCAAAACCCCCCAAACCATCAACCCAATAGTACTTTTATAAAGCCCTTAGAAAAACCCTGACAGGACCCTCCAAATCCTATTCCCCAAAAGCAAGCCCATGTGGATGCAGGTTGTACAAAGAGGAACTCTACGACTCACTTCTCTGCGAAGAGGGCAACGTTTGGCACTCAGAGCTTGTAGGGTTTTGGGTTTGTAGGGTTTTGGCTCAGCATTTAAGATTCAGGGCTTCGCGCTTTCCTAGTTCATGAGCTATTTTCAGTACGGTTCGCTCTATCCGCTAAACTAGCCAGGCAGGGGTTTGATGATGGTGAGAATCACCATGGCGACGTTCATGACAAGAAGCCCACATCAACTCGGGGAATATCCCTTGACTAAGGGCCACTGGGCTCTTCGGCTTGAGGATATGGGAGTTTCCGAAAATAGGGGTACCTTATTTTGGGGGTCCTTAAATAAGGATCCTACTATTTAGGGTACTATATTGGGGTCCCCTGTTTTTGGAAACCCGCATATTAACCCATCGCCATCCCCAGAGCTTGCAGCTCAACATTGCGAGTCGCTGCAATGAAGCTTGAGTGGCTCGATTCAAGGGATGACGGCTGACTGCTTCTTCTCGTAACTTCTCGGCTGGATTACATTTTCGCCGGCACGCTTGGCAGTATGTTGAGACGATATTGGCCCTCTTGAGTTTGTTAGTCGGTATCTTGTCCTGCAATCTTCTCATGATGGCATGAATGCAGTCATGCTCCTGAGTTGCATGGTAGATCTCCTGGAAACTGCAGTTGCAGCGTTGCTTTGATGTTCTATGTGTTTGTTCTTGAACCCCTTTTTACCGTATGGCTTCGGGTTCGTCGGCCCGGAGGTCTACGTCCCCCGAAAACCCTGAACCCGAAACCCTAGACTCCTAAACCCGAGACCCTAAGCCCTAAACCCTATACCCGAGACCCTCAACCCGAAACCCTAAACCCTAAGCCCGAGATCCTAAACTCCAAACCCCAGATTCCAAACCCTGAGCCGTAGCCCTAAGCCCCCCCCACCCCCAGCCGCGAAGCCCCAGGTCAAGACACGAAGAGACTCCTGTCGGGCTGCCTCGGCCGCGTTTGAGGATAAATCAATAATTAGCAATACAAATATGTGTATATATATACATATACATATGCATGTACGTTCAATCAGAATTCTATTCTGTTCATTCAAGCTTCTAAGGGCGCTATGCGGATGCGATTATGGATAAGAATCTTAAGGTTGGGGACCTGGGTGTTCGGGTTTAAGAACAGAGTTGGGGTAGGACCTCGTGATTGGGTTTAGGGCTTGGGGCTTAGGGTTTAGGGTTTAAGGCTTAGGGCTTTAGGGTTTTTGGTTTTAGGGTTTTAAGGTTTTCGGGCTTTAGGATTTTAAGGCTTTTAGAGTTCTAGGGTTTAGGGCTTAGGGGCAGCTCTCAGACATTGGGGTCTTAGAGCTTGCGGCAAGCCAGCCGGCTCGCTTGAAACCGGGCTGGGCTCAGGGTCTACAGCAACAGCAAAAGGGCGTGCGCGTTTAGAGGGTTAGGGTTTAGGGCTTAGGGTTCAGGGTTGTGGGTTTAGGATTTAGGGGCGTTTAGAGGGTTTAGAGTCCTAAATCAGAAAAAACGTATCTTGTGACTGCTTAACACCCCAGACCCTTAAACCCTGAAGCCCCTAACACCCGACAAAAGCCCCCAAACACCCTCAAAGCTATACCTGTAAGCCTAGAGATCAACAAGCCGGACCCAAAACCCTTCGTTCCATAATCTTCAACATCTTAACCCCTTCGATGCCTACGTCTTCAACCACAAGCCTGAACCTGCATAAACCCCACGAGCCCTCAGCCCCAAATGCTCCAGGAACCTAGGTCCTTCATGTAGAGGTCTTTTGGTACCCCAAAACCCTATGGTTCAATGATGACCCCAAGTCCTAGACCCTAAGACGCCCAAGCCCCTGAACCCTGAAGCCCTCAAGCCTGCATCCTACAACACCCTGAACCTAACAATCCCTAAACCCTAAACCCTAAACCCTAACAATCCCTTAAACCCCTAACTTTGTTGGGTTCCGGGTTCAAGTTGACCCCCCCTCGCCTCTCTGGTCAAGGATTTGGATGGATTTGTGTAATGGAACCATACTAACAAGGATCCCTAGTCATAAAGCTAACCTAGCTGTATAGGGGTCCTTATTGTCATTATTATTATATGATTATTTTTGTTGTTGTTATTATTATTTTAATAGGGGTTTCACTTTTGCTTGGCCACTTTGATGCTTCCGAGGTACGACTCCAGGGCCTCCGGCGCGTCCTCGAGGTCCGGAAGCGTCTTTGCTTTTGGGTAGCTCTCTAAATTAGGATCCCTTTTAGCGTTCCTTAACGGGATCTATTTGGCTTTCGATAGGGCTTCTATAAGGGTTCTATATGGGTAGTTCTCTAAATTAGGATCCTTTTTGTAGTCATTTTCATCAGGGTGCCGTGCTACTTTTGGGGACCCCAACAAGGACCCTAAGTTAGAGAACTACCCTTGTGATTCGTTTTCTTTCAGTCGAAGAGTCGGGACAGTAAGCTTGTTAGCCTTCTTGGGGTACTAGAAGAACTTATGCAGTCCCCCAGATGCGCTTTTAGTTCCCATATGCTGTTGGACAAGAAGCTTCTATAGCGTTTCGGGTATCCTAAAAGACCCCAGAACCAGCTATAATTTTGGAATCTAGAAGCCCAGCTCCTTGAACAAAAAAGCCAAGACCCTCAATGCGAAACCCTGAACAGTGGCTTCCAAACCCGAAAGCCCTAAACACCTAAACCCTAAACCCCAAACGACTTTACGTCCTAGCTTATCTCGACCCTCGTCCCTCAGGTCCTCAAACTGTAGAAGGTCTCGGAATTCCCGGTGAAAGACTTGTCTGGGAGCTCAAAATATCTAATATAGGGGCCTAAAAAAATTACCTACATTATTTTGGTGGTTCCTTTTTATATTTCTAGTATAACGGCCCCCCAAAACCCTATTCTAATTATTGAGGCCCCTACATTAGCTTTCATTCCGAGTTGAGGGCCGCTGACGACACCTCAGCCTGTGGGGACACAACCGTACATGGGCAGTGCTCTAAATTAGGGTTTAGGGTTTAGGGTTTCTGATATAATATAGGGGCCTAAAAGATTGCAGTAGAAGCTCGACTGTTGGTAGCCTCAGTCCTTAAGAGCAATGCATAGGGAATCCCAGCACTGTTTGTCCTTAATCCGGTTTCCAACTTCTTGGGGTTTACTATACCTACATTATTTTGGTGGTTCCTACTACTTGGACCCTTCCCCCAAGGGGCTTTAGGATGTAGGCTCCATACCAAGAGGGTCCGTATATAGTGTTCTGGAATTTAGGCTCCCAAAACCATAATATCCTTATATACTACTGATATGGAATTAGGTTCCCAAAACCATAATATCCATATATACACTACTGTTATGGAATTAGGTTCCCAAAACCATGATAGGGATGGTCTTTTGGGACCCAATTACATAATAGTAGTGTATATGGAGCCTCTGGGATAGTGTTCACATACGGACATGCAAGCAATGTAAGCGCGAGCAAGACACGCGTTGATTGGGTCGACGGCGAAGTAAATCTCAGCTGTCGCGGCCTGCACCCTCAGCTGCGTTTTTCCCCAAAAGCCCAAATCACAGACTACTATCCGATTCAACCACCACGACGATGTTGACCTCTCACACGCCAAGCCTTTTATCAACCCGGAATACTGCAAATGCGACTATCGGTTCATACTCCCTAAACCCTGAACCCGTAAGCCCTAAGCCCCAAACCCTAAACGCCATGAAATTTTACTTCCTTACATTCTGAAGCCCTAAACCCTAAGGCCCTAAGGATGCTGAAAATGCCGAAGACCCAGACGTTTCCTTCTGAAAGGTCACGGAGCAAGTTCGAGACGTCATCGACACGCTGTAGCTTCATGATGTCGAAAAAGGCTTTCGCAAGGGTTGAGGTGCTTAGGGGTTAGTCTTCAAGCCTTCGGCTTCTATGAGGTTCTATACGAGTTTTGTTTATGCGGTTTCTATTCGGGCATTGTATAAGGGCTACTGTAAGGGTGTCTACTACAGTGTTTTATCCAAAGTTGTTATCAGGGTCTCCAGGTTTCATAAGGGCTCGACCAGGGGCCCCGAGAGATTCTAGACGGTTTGAGGCGTTCCAAAGGCATACCTGGAGCCCCAACAAGCTATCGCTTTTTTTTTGGGACGTAAAGAAGGAAATCATAGTACAGATCCCTAAATAAGGTAGGCTTTATAGGATCCAAGTAAGGCTACGATAAAGGATATGTATTGGGCGCATGTTTCCTTGCCAAGGTCCTTCGTTTCGGGTTGGGGGGTTTAGGGTTCATGTTCATTTCACGCGCTGTCCCCCGCCTGCCCTAAACCCAGGTGAAGACATTTTGAACAACTGCGCGCACCGACAACCCTAAACCCTAAACCTAAACCTAAACCTAAACCCTAAACCCTGACCCTAATCCCTAAACCCTAAAGCCTAAACCCTAAACCCTGATCCCCGAACCCCGATACCCTGGTATTCAGAAGCTCCGAACCGAGGATCCTTCGGGGCAGAGGGTGGTCTTCCAAGGTCTACGAGCACTCCCTTCTTGGGATTCAGGCTTTAGGCCTTAGGGTGTAGGGTTTAGGGTTTTGGTTTAG